CTATATGATTGCAGGTTCGAGGCCTGAGACGTCTAAAATTCGCTGTCTCCCTTTAATGATGAGCTGTGAAAACAGTTCAGGGCATGTAACAATTGTTTTTCTGGGCTGGAATGGGAGAAATATTCATTCTAGAATCCGTAAGTTTGTTTTTTTCTTGCTCAACTGGATAATAAGCCCTAGTGGGTGTTCACACTCACCCCCAGAGTTAACTAGCATAAGGGAAAGGGCCTTGTCATCCAGACGCCTGTAAGCATAAGACGTTACTATTTTATTGGTGATCACCTGTAACGCCTGTTGCTGATCCTCATCCAATTGACGGTGCTCCTAAGCTTTTACAGATGTTCCCAGGAGCGGCATCAATGGCTTCAGATCATCGTTCCTAATGCCACAGATATTACGAACCCACTGAATGTCACCCATTAATTTTTGCACATCAGACACTGTTTCTATTGCTGTGTTAATTTTTACTTTCTGGGGTCGAATCATTCCGTTTGTAATAATCCAGCCCAGATGCAGCCATGGTTCCTTCTTCTGCATTTTCTCTGGTGCTATCTTTAATCCCCTCTCTCCGAGAGTATGTTCTAGCTGTGCCAAAATTGTCTCCGAGTCCAGCTGTCTTCCTGCTACCAAAATATCATCCGTGTAATGATAAATAAGTAAGTGAGGATGCTGCTTTCAGATGGGTTCTAAAGCCCATGCAACAAATAACTGACATATTGTGGGTGAATTTTTCATCCCTTGTGGTAGCACCACCCAATGATACCTTTTTGCTGGCTCAGCTTTGTTTACTGACGGTACTGTAAAGGCAAACCTTCCAGCATCCTCTGGATATAAGGGGATTGTAAAGAAACAGTCTTTCAAGTTGATAATCACCAAGTCCCAATCCTTGGGTAACATAATCAGGGAGGGTAGTCCAGGTTGTAAGGCCCCCATATCACACATAACAGCATTAATTGCTCGCAAATCATGTAACAGACGCCATTTCCCAGATTTCTTTGGGATTGTAAAGATGGGAGTGTTCCATGAGCTAGTCGAAGGCACGATATGTCCAGCATCTAGCTGTTCCTGTACCAAATCATCAATAACTTGCAGCCACTCCTGTTTTAGTGGCCACCAGTGAATACATACTGCATCATCAGTCTTCCAGTTTAATTTTAGGATTGGCTGCTCTACCGTGGCCGCACCTAAAAAGGTGAAGTGATTAATCGAGCTCCCACCTGACTGAGCGGATCTCTCCCTACTAGTGCGACAGGTAAATGCATTACATAGGGACGTGTGGTTACTACCTTGCCACCAGAAAACATAAATGCGATTATATCCCTACTGATGGATGTGACCTGAGTCCCTCCGACTCCCATAATTCCTGTAACTCACTGGTACTAGGGGCCACTGCTTAGGCCAGTTATAAAACGGTATGATTGCTACGTCTGCTCCAGTATCTATGATCATGTATAACTTGCTCGTCTGTCCACTGGGGTGTTTCATCTCCATCTGCTCCTCTGGCTTCCTTCAACTAATGTCCATGGCTAACAAAACATCTGGTTGTCCAGTGGATCCAAAACCCTTTATCCCCCTCTTTCTTTGTTCTGTTTTGGGTACTTTTGATTCAAATGGGATTAACTGAGCAATTTTTGACCCTTCCATTATAGCTAAGGGGGGAGTGAGTGTATATACCATTATCGTGATTCTTCCCTCAAAGTCAGCATCAATAAGTCCTGGGACAACAAAAATACCTCTCCTAGATGCTGAAGAGCATCCGATTAATAAGGCACTTAGTAAGATTTGATTCGACCAGTTGTACCGCGGTATCTGTAGGGGTAATAGCTACTGCTGTTGCCAAGTCCACTCCTGCACTTCTGGAGGTGGTGGCGGAGCAGTGGTCCAGGCACCCTGAGCTTGTGTCGTAGCCCGAGCATGGGGCACGCTCCACGTCCCGTTTCCCCTCTTCCGACACTCGCTAGTGCTATGGTTGTTTCTTTGGCATTGCTCACACCATTTTTTATACACCACTCCGTTGTGTGAAGGACTCCAACACTGTGCTTTAAAATGCCCTAGTCTTCCACAATTAAAACATTTCTTATCTTGTTTTCCTTTACTGCTTTTCCCTTGCAAAATTGGCTTTACGGCCGCTTGTACCACAGCAGCCATAAAGGCAGACTTTTCCTGGTCGAGCATTCGCTCAGCTGCTTCCAGGAGCTGACCAGTGGTGGAGCCTAGCGGCAGGAGACTTAAGGCCTTTTTTGTTTTTTTCATTAGCATTACCATAAGCTAACATATCAAGAAATTTAACTTTCATTTCCGCACTCAAATCCGGATTACTGTTAATAGCAGCATGTAACCTATCAATAAACTTAGGATAAGATTCTGTGGGACCTTGTTTTACTCCTGTAAATGCCGGCGCCGTTTTCTCATCATGCACAGCTAAGATCGTTCTCAATGCTAGTTCCTGGGCCAAACGCAACACCTCCGGTTGACAACCTACTTGCCAATCAGGGTTGGCAAACGGACCTGACCCCAGCAACATCTGGGACTGTACCCCATGTAAGGGATCTCCTTGCTGACGGGGTGTAGCCGCCGCAGCTTCACAGGCCGCTTGCCAACGCTGAAAAAACTGTAATTGCTGAGATGCTGTTAACAGCGTCTGTGTAATCATGCGCACGTTATACGGAGTTAGTAAGTTTGCTGTAAAGATATGCTGAATCACAGAATTAGTATACGGCGACTTCAAACCATACCAGGTAACTGCTAATTTTGCTTCCTTTATCATTCTCCAGTCTAAGGCCTCCCATGCATTGCCCTGTGGAGTTGCTACCACCGGGAATGGCATTGGCCCAAGGTGATTAAATTGCCCCTCAATTATTTCATCCCGAATGACTCCCCGCCATCGATGTGCTGGATTGCTATTACCAGCCGTGCCTCCCACTGCCCCCCCCCGGCAGCGGTGGCTCAATCGCTAATGTTTCTGCTTGACCACCACCCCCCCCCCCCGGCACTGCCTCGGAAAAAGGGATTAGTAGGGAGAGGAGGAGGCGGCGGTGCCGTAGGAACAGGCTGAGCCAGTTCCTGCATTTTCAGTTCAAGCTGTATCAATTTTTTCATTAATTCTCTCAGCTGTGGGTCTCCCAAGCCATGACGGTGTTCTTCATGCAGCGATCGGGGTGACAGTGGCAAAGACGTGGGTAGAGGCGGATCAATTCGTTATGACAACTGGTTCCCTGGGCTTGGTATCGGGGACTCGGGTGGTGGTGAATTCATCGGGGGCTTCGGGGGGGTGGGGGGTGGAGGATCTGCCGCGGATGCCTGCTCCCGATCCTTCCTTCTAGATGAAGGTGACAGCACTGGCGCTGCACGCAGAGCAGCCCCACTCCCTTTTTCTGGGGCTACTTTTGGAAATATAGGCCCTGCAAACATCATCGATGTGGCGGATTCTTTAGAACTTTCTGCCTCCGCTGACAGGGCAGCAAAAGCGGAGGTGGTGGCCTGCCATTCCGCTTTCATTTCTTTCAGAGTTTCTAGTATCAGCCTCCACAATGTGGAGAATTTCACACTCTCTTTGGAGCCTGAGCTAATGTCCTCCCACAGTGCCGCACCACTCTTGTCCCAAGTCGCCAGCTCGGAAGCCACAGTCACTGAGGGGATTAATCCACACTGCCGAGCCCATGACACCAACTTCCTCAGGCTTCCCTCATCATAAGATAATCCTCTCTTAGAGAGTGTATGTTGGAGGAGCTTAACAACTGCCGCTTCTTCTTTGCTTAGCGTGGACCCCATCTCCTCCCCAGCTGCTCACCTGATCAGGGCGAGATTCCAACGATTGCGCTTGCGTCTTCCAGGCACCGGGGCAGTGCCTGCTACAGCTGGCTTCAGCACCCTCTGTACCGTCTCTTCTGCTCCAGCAAGCATCGACGAGAGGGTCCCTGTTCGGGCACCACTTGATGCAGAGGTCTCGGACACAACATGCACGATCAGTGTGATCAAGTTAATGCCGCTTTATTAAAGGATACACAGCAATTCATACACTAGCACAAAGCCCACGTGTTACGTTTTGGTTGCTAATAGGTTAAAGTTGCTTGTTCACACGCCTTGCTCTTCCGTACCTACATTCTGTTTCTCCCTCTTGTTATCTTGTTTTTTACATTCCATCCTCCTTACCTCTCTGCAACATAGGCAGTTTCTCAAAACCCCAATTTCATTATCTCTTTCGACCTTGCGTATGTCCTTCACAACAGCTGCAGTTGTGAGGCCCCTGGGTCTGGATTGCTCACAACATGCCTATTTTCTTCCAGCCACTCCACAGAGGATATGTGGCATATCCCCGCCCCCCAGTTCAAAACTATACAATAGTAATTAATAATCACACTTTGTGATTCACACATCAGCAGAGGAAGACGGGTTGGCGTCATGTTTCATGGTTTACTGTAGCGCTGAGAAAATGACCGAAGTCCCACCGGGGATACTTGTGACTCATCCCTTTGTGTTCCTTCCTCAGAAACTGCCTGTTGTTTCCAAACACCAGTGTTACCATTTCAAACTTCCCTCAGTATTTTGGAGAAGCATGCCAGGGACGCATGTGTCAGCGTTCCTCTGGGCCTGCTTTAGTCAGGAGCCTGCTATTTTCTATTTGAGTGGGCAACTTCAAAAACACCGAGCATCCACACCGCACTCCTGAAGACCTCTGTGCTCCACACGTTTTCAGGAGGACATCCAAATAATTAAAACCTAGAACAGGGTAAAGAAGAACCAACCAAAACACGAGCATGAACAAAAACATGGATACACACGGTTTCCTCCGCACCTTGCCCACGCACACATGCTCCCGCTGCGCGGGCCGCCCGGCTCCAGCCACGCCTTGCCGCGGCCGCGGGGAAACTGAGGAGCACCACGGCCCGCCGAGCCCCCGGGGCAGGGGTGCCGGGGTGCCAGGCTGCGGGGGGGCACCGGGCAGCCGCTGCCGGCGGGCGGCAGGGCCCAGCCCCCGGCGGCCGTACCGGGGGCCCGGGGTGGGCGGGCCTGCCCCGCGGGGCCGTGGGAGGCGGCTGGGCCGCGGCGCTGCTCGTTCCCTCCCACGGCCGCTCCCGGCCACCGGCAGCTCGGCCGGGGCGGGGGCTGTGCGCGGTTAGCCCGGCCCGCAGCGCGTCCCCGCGCCCTGCCTCATCCGCCCACGGAGAGAGGCCCGGGCGGCGGGGGAGCCCCGGCGGGGCAGGGCCGGAGGAGCGGGCGGAAGGTAACGCGGGCCGGCGGGCCCCGGGTAGGCCCCGGGCAGCGGCGGGCAGAGGTGAGGGGAGGTGTGGGGTCCGAGGCAGCGGAGGTCGGGTCTGCCTGAGAGCCTCTGCTCCGGCGTCCCCGCGGCTCCCTCTCCCCGCCCTTTGCCCCGCGTGTGGCCGCGCTGCGGCGGCAGCAGCCGCGCAGGAGGCGGGCAGCCTTGGGCCTGCCCGGGGTGTTCCTCCCTAAGGTCTTCTGCCTGGTGCCTCCGGTGAGATTACCGATTTGCACGAAGTTAGGTGGGATTTGCAGGACCGGTAAGGGCTCCAATTGTAGCTGGTTTCAATTCTTCTGCCTTAAATTCCACGTGAAGCAAATCGAAAGTCAGCCAAAGAAACTCCAGCGTTTCCCCGAGTTGGGAAAACGCTGCCTATAGTTCTGCTTTGTACACTTTGTCACTAGCTTTGACATTCTCCTGTCACTTATAGTCATCCCGCTTCGGGTTCTCTGCTGGTTTGCACTCTTTGCAATTTACAAAAACACCTTTGTAGTAAAATGTGATGACTCTTATCTGGAGCAAGCGCTTTATGGTGTCAGGAAGTTAAATCTTACACTGTACTAAAAGTAGAGCACTGTGTTAGTTCATGTGTGAAGAAAGCAAGGTGCCACCTTCCCCGAGACTTCCCCTGGAAGCCAGTGGAAGTGCTGAGCACAGCACCCAGCTCCCGCTGGGCTCGCCCGAAATCCACCGCTGATCGTGTTCTGCTTTGAATTGTGCTTTGTGAGAGGAGTGGTGAGAAAGTCCTGCTAAAAAGCTTGCTGTGTTAGTGGACCTGAGTATTACATCTGAAAAATCTTAAAAGCGCTTTTTGTGGTTGCTTAGGCCAGCTCTCAGGCTTGGGGTGAATGGTTGGCTCAGAGTGGGCTGTGGAGGTAAAAATTGCTGGAGCTAAGAACGTTGTTATGAATTAATGTTTCTGGCGTACCATTTCATAACTTGGTTGTCTAATTTGTTGTGGCACAGGTGGTGTGTGCTGCCTTGTTTGAGATGGTACCAGAACCTAGGGTGTTGATTTTTGTGGTTTTAGATGCCAGGCTAGCTGCCCTAATTTTTATCTTTTGGCTGTTGTTGCTGACACTTAGCTGCATGCTTGCTGTGCTGTTAGCTGTGGGAGTCCTTTCGCTAATGCTTAAGTGCTCTTCTGCAGCCTCTTCTCTGTTCTCGAAGTCTATATGCCTGAACTAAAGTATAAACCAGGAAATTTTATATAAATATGGGGTTTATTACTCAAACTAGTTGTTAAAAGCAAAAAGAGAAAATAAGGGAGTAGAATACAGATAACTAATAGCTAGTGTCCAAAAGAAGCATATGCTATGTAAGCAGCCACCTCAAGATCGTATATAAGAATTCAAATGATAGTAAATGTGTTAAAGAAAGATTTAATCACTATCTGTTATAAGATCTCCCTAGTCTGGACAGGTAATTTTGGTACCACCATTGAACGGTGATAACACAGCAGAAAGTGACCTTGTCCTGACTTGGTTACTAACCCACATGCAAGTGTTGTGCATTGCTATCCAAGTTTAGTAAACCAAAAGTAATCCCAGAGTTATTCTTTGGAATTTTATCTACAGTGAAAATGAGTCAACAGCCTTGTTCCAAATAATGATTTTACATATGTGCGTGTGTTTCATTTTGAAGTTTTAAGTTTTCTTCATTATGAAGTCTTTTGGAACATGATGACTTTTTTATAACTGACTTAATACTGTGAAATCCCCGTTTCTTCTTAACAGAATAGGTATAAAACGTGTTAACCAATTCTTTCTTGTATTTGTGGAAATTAGTAATCCAGAGTAATTTTTAGTAAAAAGAAGCAATTTTTGTAAAAATTGCATGTGCTTCATATGTCTTAGTTAACACAGTTTTAATTTGGATGTGTATTTTCTCAGCTGTGCACCATTTGAGTGCTTTTCAGGTGAGATTGATGCATTTTGCACCTCCCACCAATGTTGCAGAACAGTAAAAGGTCAGATTAAGTAAATCGTTCAGTCATGATAGCTGCATTATTGGCTTCCAAGCTGAAACCTTAGAGAGAGTTTACGTATTGTTTATCAGTAGAAAAATAAAAATTTGTTACATAAAAGTTACACATGAGGAGTTTTCAGATCTGCTCACTGTCTATTGTCCCTATGTTCCAGTTCCAGGGTGCAGAACAATACGAAGAATAAACTAGTACGTTCCATTGCTTTGATAGCAGTATTTTTTGAGGCCCCCCTCTGTTTCTGGTCATTATTTGGTCAAACTTAAGAGTCTAACGAGAAATGGAGATAACTGCATTTATGCTTTTTTGTAATTTAGTCACTGGAAAAAAAAAAAAGTTTCTCTGTGTCTGCCTTCAGAAGTCATACCAGTTTGCAAAAGAAATGCCATAATGTTTGCTGTCTTATTTTTCTTCCATAATCTACTTTCTTAAGGTGTTTTTTTTTTCCACACCCTTGTACAGTGCAGCCTTTTTTGGTGATGGTGGGTGACACTGTCTTTTAAGTGATACTTTCTGCTCTCTGAAGAAGTGTGTGTTTTTATAGGTAGGGCAGAATCTTACATGAAGACTCCTTACATCTGTCTGTGTTTTATCTTGAGTAGATAGTTCATCATGCAAAAAATAAAGTCTTGGTTGGTTGTCAGTTGAAAATAACAGTAGATGAAATCATAAACAGGTTTATAAGGATGAATTTCACATCATTAATACCTACTGTTCAAGTGGTCAGACTTGAGATCACTTTATATGCAGAACTCTTGGGGAAATTGGATACCCGGCAGTTACTTACTTATTTGTTATTTTTTTTTGTTGTACATTACGTGAATATATCAATTTCTTTAATACAGGGTATACATCTTTCTTTAGCTAGCTTTTGATAAAAATTAGTTCTACATTATCAGTTGCTTTTTTTTAAACAAGTAGCACGCTCCAAATTGTTTGACTTTTTTTATGGTCATCTTGCCTGGTGAGTGAAAATCCTTCAGGCCTTTTATAAAAAACTAGATCAGAAAATTAACAGTTGCAAGCTAATATTTATCTAATCTTCTATTAGGCCAAGCCATTTACCTTAATAATATATCCATTATGAATTAGAGAGACATTAACCTATGAAACAGATTAATATCTTAAAGGCTGTCATTTCTTCACAATTCAGCAAAACCTTGTGATAAATGCAGCTGGTTAACTGTTACAGTTGTTGCCCAAAGCCCTCGCCAGTTTTGAAATCTCGACACATTTTGCAAGCTGGGAGGCTGCCTCCTGCGTACGTCAGCTCTGCCGCCGCGTGTGCAGAACTGCGGGGTATAGGGTTTGATACTGGCAGATCCATGCCATAACGGTGGGAAAATGGACTCTTGTTTCTAATGAGCCATGGCTCAGAATTACACTGAATTTCCTAAAGTTAGCCGTAATGGCTGAATCAGCAGTGTCTTGATTGGTGTCAAAACAGGCTTTATTTGACTGTTAAAATAAAGGATTAATTATAAAACCTTTGTAGAAAAAAGGATATTACTTGTGTAGTGAGCAATCTTAAAAGGGGCACGTAGGTTACACGCAGTGTCTTGTACTGCTTTTTTCGGGCTCTCAAAATGAGAAAGTTCGAGAGTGGGTTTGGTGAGGCGTTAATAATTGCATGTAAATACATGCGTGTAACTATTTCTGGCATCTAGGAGGTGGCATTTGAAATGATGTGAAATGGCTAGCGGATGCAGGAGGCAGCTGTGGGGTTTTGATCTGTGCCAAGTGAAAGTCCTCCTGTTGGTGAAAGTTAAGCTGATCTGTTGTTCTTTCTGCCCTGATTTCTAGGGTCCACGAGGTAGTAGGCAGATCATGCATGGTTTCATAGAGACTGTCTTGGGTTTGTAACAAGAACAGAAACTAACCTGGTTTTAGCACCATTTTTTTTTAACAGCAGTTTAGTAGTCAACTGGCATTTAGAGATAATTTCATCCTTGGATATCATGCTTCACTTCCAGTGAGTTTCTAATATTACCCTTGGTCAATCCAACATGAATATTAAATGTTAAGTTCAAAGTTTCTTTAATGAATCACTTAGGGCATTTGTGCTGACCACAAGTAGAGTCTTAAGTTACATAAAGTATGGTTGCATAGAAGATTTATGTATCCCTATTTAGGAAAGTGGCTCTATTGGGATGGTGTGCAAGTTAAAAAAAAAAAAAAAACAAAACAAAACCCAAACAAAGCAAAACAAATCAAAACGACAAAAAGAAACCATGATCTCATCCTTAGCTCATGAAAATCAGCATACAAGCTGGGGAATCAGGCACAGCCTTGAAAGAGATCCTCATTTACCTGTGGCTGTAAATCTAGTCCAGAGTTGATATTACTTGCTGTTTCTGAGATAGTTGTGTTTTTCTGCATTTTAACACTTGCAGTTTAGTGCATTGGATAAGTAACAGATTTCTTCTTTTAACACTTTCACAGCTATTTAATTAACACAATGAAGCCTGAAAAACTGCACTGTTGGATTCTGGGTTGTTTTTCTATGGCATTATGTTGTTGGTGTACTTCAGATAAATTCATTCAAAGGTAAGTTATGTTTTAAAAAGAAATCTCTGACAGTTCTTTTGTAAGTGCAGAGCAGAATAGTTTACCTTCTAGTGAATGTAAATTTTCTTTTTATTATGTACTATTTTTGATGTGTAATTCTTCCCTTAGGTGACTGGTAAAATGTAGCATGTGCATTAACTGAAAGAGTGGGGGTCATGCCTAAGAAAAGCTTTACATTTATTAACGTGTCATCATGAAAAGAGAGGAAAACTTAAATTACATTCATTGCATTTAAAAACTTTGCAATCTTGCTTTAAATGAATCACTTAGACTTGTGATGTAGTAATGACAAAAATCAGAAATAATTTTGGGACCTATAATAAAAAATTGCAATCATCCCTATGGCATAAATTGCACCAACTTTTACACTGCATAGTTTTTTATCTATATAAATTTATTTTTTCTTTACTATTTTCTCTGTTCCAATCATTTAAAATTCATTTTCAGACAGCATCCCAACTGGAGGCTGTATCAGTGCTATGCTTGGTGGTTGTTGCACCTGGCAAAATCTAAGCCTGTAAACTATGGGCCATGGGGGAATTCATGGCCCAAATCACACCCTTCTGTGGTAAAAGCTCAAATTTGTATTGCATTATGTTAGGAAATAAACTTTCCTCCTTAATTTCAGTGTTTTGGCAAGAGAATGGTTAAGGGTACTCAGTTCAGTGCTGAACTCCATATAGTGGCTACATTGCAGCTGGTTGGTGGCTTAGACACTATGCTGAGGTTTTGTGAATCCCCAGGACTTGTGCTATGGCTTGGCCATCTTGGCAGCAGGGCAGCTGCAGAGGCTCAGTGTGGAATGGCACAGAGCAGGGTAAGTTGGGTCAAAAAAAGGGGAGATATCCCTGAAGCTGCATAGGTATTGAAAATGGCTTTCCTTGGATTCCAGTTCTGAGCTTAAGTTTCTAAAGCTTGCTCTATTTAATAACCAAAATTTTCTGACCTATCCTTAGCCAGAAAGTGTGTTTTAGGAGAACTTGTTTTAGAATGACTGTCATTGCAGAAATTCAGCTGCTATTTTGAATACAGATGACAGATGCTTTTTCTTTTTTTTTTTTTTTTTTTTTTTAAGCAAGTATTTTTTTTTAAAGCAAGGAAACTAATTGCTCTACAGTATTGGGAAATTCTTCTGTTCAGCTTTCCACAGCAGCAGTAAAGACCAGTTAGAAGTGTTATTAGTGTTCATTGTGCCTGTACTTGATTTGTTCCAGAGTTATTCTGCTAAATTATTTAAAAACCACAGATACATGTGAATACTTGAGAAAATGTGGCCATCGCATATTAGCAAAACTAGAGGAAGAAACTGAGAAGTGATGTAATATGGGAGCATCCCTACTTCCTCGGGTTGAGAAGAATTAGCTTTCTCATATATTTTTCATATAACCTTTGGCAAGCACTAACAAAGGATGTGTGGCTTTTAGCTTCCACAAAACAAAAATTTGTTTTGACAGTACTGCACATAGTGCTGTCAGTTTGAACAATTTACAATTCTGTTTTTGTTGATTAGGTTTTTCCACTTGCTGTTCTATTTAATCACTTAGTGTGGTTGAATATATCTGCTGTAGTATCTGAAGCAAGAGGGGTTTTTATCTACTTCTAGTTTATCCAGAACAAGTCTGCTCCTAACTGTTGGAAGTGTCTCTGTAGACATGGCAAAGACATCATACAGGCTTCCAACACTTTTTGAACAAAATTTTTAAGCCCCTCTGCACAGGAATAAGGTAGCACTGATGCCTCTCTGAGTTATGGATCTCTTTATTCTAAGAGGCTTTGAAACACCAAGTGCTTTTGTAAAATACGGGATATTTCTTCTTTACTTTTTCCTTAGGTAACCTTAAGACTGTGTCACAGTTTATTTATTAAATGTTTAAAAATTACTTAATTGATAGTAGGCATTTTAAAAATGTATGTTTGAATTGGATGTCTGTAAAATTTTAGTCAGAATTTTTGAGGTTTACGGTTGATCCTGGCTGGACACCAGGTGCCCACCAAAGCCACTCTATCACTCCCCCTCCTCAACTGGGCAGGGAAGAGAAAATATAATGAAAGACTCATGGGTCAAGATAAGGACAGGGAGAGATCACTTGCTAATTACTGTCACAGGCAAAACAGGCTCAACTTGGAAAAATTAATTTAATTTATTACCAGTCAAATCAGAGTAGGAAAATGAGAAATAAAACCCCCTTCATCCCACCCCTTCCTTCCTCCGAGGCTTCACTCTGCTCCCAGTTTTCCCTGCCTCCTCCCCAGCAGTGGCGGAGGGGGATGGGGAATGGGACTTCTGGTCATCACACATCTCTGCCGCTCCTGACTCCTCACACTCTTCCCCTGCTTCAGCATGGGGTCCCTCCCATGGGACACAGTCCTCCTCAAACTTTTCTGAAGTCAGTCCTTCCCATGGTCTGCAGTTCTTCATGAACTGCTCTGGCGTGGCTCCCATGGGTTCACAAGTCCTGCCAGAAAACTTGCTCCAGTGTGGGCTCATCTCTCCATGGGTCCACAGGTCCTGCCAGGAGCCTGCTCCAGTGTGGGCTTCCCACGGGGTCACAGTCTCCTTCAGGGGTATTTACTTGCTCTTGTGTGGGGTCCTCCCTGGGCTGCAGGTGGGTATCTGTTCCACCACAGACCTCCATGGGCTGCAGGGGCACAGCCTGCCTCACCGTGGTCTTCACCACGGACTGCAGGGGAATCTCTGCTCTGGCACCTGGAGCACCTCCTGCCCCTCCTCCTTCACTGACTTTGGGGTCTACAGAGTTGTTGCTCATATATTCTTGTCTCTTTGGCTACAGTTGTGCAGTTTTTTCCTCCCCTTAAATAAGTTATCCCAGAGGTGCTATCACCATGGCTGATGGGCTTGGCCTTGGCCAGTGGTGGGTCCGTCTTGGAGGCAGCTGGCACTGGCTCTGTTGGACATAGGGGAAGCTTCCGGCAGCTTCTTGCAGGAGCCACCCCTGTAGGCCCACCACTACCAAAACTTGCCACACAAACCCAATGCAATGGTTTTTACTTTACTTTTTATTCTGATTTTTTTTTTTTTTTTAATCTAAAAGCTTGGAGACACTTGCAAGATCAAATTGCATCTCCTGCAGTGTGAACTATATTGCTTATGGCTGGCTGTAATCCTTCTTTTTTGGAAGAGTAGTTACAGTTCCAAGAATGTTGTATTCTTTCTTTTCAGCTAATATACCCATCAAGAAGACCTGGAAGATTTTTAACATCCTAAACAAAGTTATTGTTACTATTATTATTATTATTGTGTAAAAGCTTGCCAGTAAGCACTCTCCTAGATATAGAACAGAAGAACATGTTTCTTTCATATTTAAGAAATGGAAAGCATATGGAGATAGAATGTTGCAAGTTGAATTGGTGTAACAATGGGGAGGAAGTATTAGCAGGTTTCTAAATAAGTTACGTCTATGTGATTTGTTTGTTTGGTCCTGCTGTGTTTGGAGTTCTCAAATATTGCAATAGAAGCTATAAACAGCAACCAGCTCTAAACTCAGTGTGTTGTACTAGTAAGTTGCTGGCTGAGGGTGTTGGTCTTCTTAAAATGCTTGAGAAAAAATAGATTTGTCTGTGTTTCTCCAGTGACAACCATCCTCATACCTGGAAAAAGCTGTATCTTGCTCATCATTGGCCAGTGACTGTATGTAAGGTGAGATTTTTGTGTTTTGTTCTCTTCTATCGTAACAAAGATAGCCTTTGACAATACATGTTTGAAAACAGAATGAACAAAGCCCATCAAGCATTAATGTTGCTTATGCCCTTATATCTTTATAAAGGCTTTTGCTGATCTTGGTGCAACTTTTGCTACTTCTTCTGCACTCCAGAGTAGCAGTAAACAAGACAGGATTCTGGTGTGTTACAGATATAGTAGTCAGTGTAGGACATACTGTACACTAAGCTTTAATTGCTTGTTATATATTTTGTGATATCTTGTTAGCTGTAAACTTAATCCTAGACTTTGATCAGACTCTATAAGGAGACTTGCCTGCCTTGTCTAACTGAAGATGGCAGATTAGTACTTGAATTGTCTGCTGCACAAGTTTTAGCTTTGTAATGTTTTCTCCAGCATTTTAATAAAGTCATCAAATATTAATTCAGTCAGGAAAAGCTATAAAGCTGTTATGGCAGGTGTCTCTCAGCATTTCTGTATTTGAGGGATGGGAACTAAAAATGAACCCAACTTTCCAAGGTACGTCTGTCAAAAGCACAGCTAGGAAGTGTACTACTTATGCCCCTTTTGCTAATAAATGCCTGCTACCATCTGATAAGTAGAACATTTTGCCTGTGCTGGAAATACTCGAAGGCATCTTCTCATAATTCAAAATTGAAGATGTGATCAGATTTGCTGAAACAAGGGTAGAGAACCCTGTGGATAATAGAGAAGCTTCAGAATGTGTCTGCAGCCAAAAAGGTCCTAATTCTGGGAGACTTAGGTTTACTTATTACAATATTAGAATCTTACTTTTTGTGCTTTAGGTACTTTTTTATTTCTCATTCCTATTTTTGGAATTACAAATAAAAGGAGTAGCAGCAAAAGTCACATACTGCGTAAAATTCTGAGAGAAAGTAGATGTACTTTACATTAGTTAAATGTGGAGGGGAAGTATCAATAATGAAACTCAGATTTGCACAATTAACTGAGACAAAGGAGTAGTCACTGTTCTGGGTTTTGTTTGTTTGCCTGTTTTTGAGGGGGGAATAAGGGCAGATTTGATGCAATTTATGTCTGATGTTCTGTTGAGTAAATATCACTGTTACTGACTTCAAGCAGTGATATTGGTGTTCAGGAGTCTGTAGTGCCCAGCACAAGTGGGCGTTCAGAGTCAGTAGCAGTGTAAACCCTTGCTTACGTGAATGAGATTCAAACAGTTAAAAAAATAATTAAAAAACAAACAAACAAACAAACAAACAAACAAAAAAACCCACAAACCAATCAGTCAAACAAAAAAAATCCCACCAACTAGTTTTCCCACTGTATATTAATGCTGGCTACTACTCTTAATTCTAGGGTAGTGCTAGTGGTAAATAGAGAAATAACCTTTCAGTGAAATTGTAATGAATAATTGAATATATTAAGCATCAGAAAAGGTAGGCTTTCTTACACTTTGTTGATTCCTTATGATCTTCTGTAGTAAGAGTTTGACAGAGGTATTCCAAAAGGGTAAAGAAAAACTGAAATTAAAATCATATTACGTGACCTTTTGCCCAGTTTCACATCACTAAGTCATATAAAGAAACAGAATCTCAACTGTACTTCCATAACAGCTTTCTTTTCACTAACATTAACGTAAGAAAAGTTCCGAAATTCAGCTGAGAGCTTTTTTAAAAGTACATAGATTCTTCTGCATGTTCAGTGTATTTATGTATGACTGCTATGTTATTTCAGGCACGAAATATTTTTAATGTCATTCTTCAGTTTAAAACTGTTGACATGATGTTGAAAGGAAAAAGAGTTGGGTTAAGGAAACTGCAAAACTCATTAGAGAATTTAAGTAAAGAACCTTCAAGGCACTACTTTGTGCAACTACTTATTAGTTTATGCTTCATAGATGAAGGAACCTGATTACAGACTACCTCGCTACATACCATGTTCTTGATAGGTATGTGGATGACCTACATCTTAATCCCTCCCTGTTTTGCATATCCATGTTCAAAAAGTTTTTCAGGCTTTTGAAGGCCTGAAAGGTCTCTTTTAAAATTTAGTGGGCATAGTTCAGCATGCCAGAAATTTGAGAATATACATCTTCCAGCTCTTCCTATGTTTTAACCTATGTGTTCAGCTGGTGCTTTTTAATACTGAGTGTGATCAGCACAATGAAACTAGAAAGTGTTTTGTAATCATATCTTCTAAACTAACCTGTTAAAATAAAGTAGTATCATCGAAGCAATGATAACCCCAGGGCTTAACTACTGACTGCTGCAGTGAGTGAAGGAGGAAGGAGAGATGTTCTTCCTTATCATATGATTAGAAATTCCAGTACCATATAATTGACCTCAAGTGACTATGTCTTCTACAAAAATATCCAGGCTAAAATCACAGACCTCAAGTGATTATAAATTTAATGTTCCCTTAAAAAATCGTGCCTGTGGTACAATTAATTGAACTTCATGTGTCTAATTCATGTCACACTTAAACTTTCTGGTCACAAATTAATGTGAATCCTGTTAGGTGGAAATAGGAACAACTCAAGGGTAAGAAGAGGGACTTTCCCCTCTCCCTCATTATGGAGTTGTGAAAATCTTTAATTCAAGAATTTAAGAAGAGAAATATTATTGCAGCTTTTGCATCTTGGAGACTGTAAAATGATAAAATCTTCTGTGGGTGTTTCCTTATGAAATGGGGAAAATCTGGTGTAAGTTTGTAGGTTATTTAGTTCGTCCTCTGTTGAGAATGGGAAGGATGACACAGAAATAGGTGCTAAACCCTGCTGTCATCTGCCTTTTACTGCACATATGTGCTGATCAAATGAAAGAATCAAAGGCAGGACAACAGAATAGGGCTGGTGAACAGTGAACAGAAGAGCCTGAATTCAAGTTTGAATGTAGTGTTCAGCAGCTGATGAAATGTATTATTTTTTATATGAGATAAAAAGTTTGCTGAATTCAGGCTTTGGCAATAATTTTATAGCAAAGGCTTAAAGGAAGACTAGAAATGATATTTTTTATTTTTTTTGTAAAAATAGTAGTAGTTACATAATATAGAAAGAATTAAAGTGACTGAGGTGAGGGGAGTATGCTGTTGTGATCTGGCATTAGATCAAAAAGTTCATTAGATGAAGGAATACCTTTATTTCTTTCTTTGTATATTAAGCCAGGTGCGTCAAGGTGAGTCTAGCTCTTGACATATGTTATTTTGGAACAAAAGAAAGTATTTTCCTAAATGCCCATGCAACTCATAAAATAAATCTTAATCTATGCCTCCAACTTGTCTGTGTATACAGTCTGGTTTAGATGTTTTTGTGTGTCTTTATCTTCTGCAAGGATAAACACATGAAAAGTGTTCAACAAGAACTAAATTTGTTTTATTTCCCTTCTCCCAATTTTTTTCAACAACCTGATTGATTTCATTAATTCGTTGATTGGTTTTACCCCAGGGGCTGGGGGGAGGGAAGAAAGTGAATAATTACACAGTATTTGGGGGAGAGAAATTGAAGAGGTGAACTCTCTCCACAGTTTCAAAAGCAATGATTTTTTCATAGCAGTTGTGATGTTTCATTACAAAATAACACTTAAAATTGATCTTAATTAAACAGGTGGCCTACTTAAACAGGGTGGTTGAAAGGGAGAGCAGTATTAAATATTTCACTTCCCAGAAGCTGGCTTTCTATTTAAACTTGGGATATCTGTATGTGATCTGGTAACACCTCTCCTATGTACAAGCTGCTGTACCAAGGGATTTGTAACTTGGGCAGCTCTACAGGTAACACTTCTGTGACAGTTTGGCATTTCAGAGGTGAAAGGAACTTCCACGCTCATGGCAGCCGCTCTTTGTCTGATGTGTTGCTGTTACAAACAGACTCATCTCTCTGCTACAGCATTCCCTCTTAGTGTGGTGGGTGCTGTAAAGACTCAGTGGCACTTTTCTCGGTGTTACAGATCACATAAAGTTAATTTGGGTTGGTTTGATTTTCACATTGCTTTAAAACAGGAGAAAACAATGTTCCTTTTCCCAATTAATCTAGATATAGAAGGCTTTCTGGAGTTCAACGCCTGTTTGAAAATACACGTTTGTAACTCTTGTTTCAAATCAACAGTTGCCCGAGGTTGAATTAATCCTTCAGATAAACAAGAATGCTGACAAGAAGTGTTTTTGCAGAAGCAGCAGGGGTACCCAGCTTCTCAGATTAGTGTTTGTTTGTTTTATGATACTGATTTAAAATGAGCATTGGAAAAATGCTATGGCTAGAATTAAAAAGGAGGATGGATGAAGCTGGCCAAAGCACACAAAGTGTGAACTAATGCGTTGTAGATTGCATTGGCCTCACAGTTCTGCCAGTACGCAGGGTAACACCATGAGCCTGATGAAATGCATAGAAGAAACTGCTAATAAGGTTAGTGCAGTGATAGGCGAGAGCTTACTCCAAATTTAAAATACTCCAGGCTTTCCTTTAGCACATCTGAGAACTGCAATTAAATATTGGGTAAGGAGCACAATTGCACTGTTCTTGTTAACACCCTCGGTTGAGCAAGTCGATTTGCTGTCAGGCTGTTTTCAGGTTATGATCCATTAGCTGCTGGCTGTTAATTTGCTGTATTTTGATCTAGATAGCTGAGGTCTTTCAGCTCCACAAAGCTTGTGTCACAACAGCAATATTGTTTAGGTGTTTGCAGTGTGTGTTGAAAATATTCCTTTCAGGAAAAAAAGCTGTTGCTGGGTTTATTTGCTTCTATTATTGGTGGCAAGACAGGAGAGGAAGGAAATGGGCACAGAATAAGAAAGTCTTGCAGAGTTTGCAGTTTTGCTGCCACTGGCCTGTGGCATGTGGAAGGCAATTAGTGAGATTACAGGCCTTTCTCTGCTCTTGTCTACACTCTGCTCTTGCTCTGGCATCACATAAAAGGCATTGTGGCATAATTAAGACAGGATGCAGAGCCAGAAAGGAAAGCTGCTATTAGGCGGAAAGAAAGTCTGAGGAGGTTGTTATTTAATGGCAAAAAGTGTTTAGTAAAAAGAGCCATAATTACTAAGCAGAATAATCAGGGGAAATACTGTAATGGTATTCTGTGATGTGTGCACATGGATTTTTTTGGTTTTATTCAGGAATATGTACTCTGCTCTAATGAATAATTAATGTATAGACTATTTTTCCTTCATGATCAAAGGTTTTGACTGGGGGCTTTTTTTTGTAGGAATATATAGACTTTCCTCTTCTCTCCATTCCCTTGTCCCTCAAGTCAAAATATTTAAAAAATATATTCTAACCATTTTACTTTGAATAAGCAATACATGTCATCACTTCTTTCTATTTTTCTCTTTTAATACAACAACAAAACTACTGAATGTTTAAAGATGGTTGCGTGCTTGTCTGTTGTTATAGTTTATTTTGTGGGTTTTGTTTTAATGGTTCTCCACTCCTTTAAAAGATCTGATGATGAGAACAACACAGAGAACTGCCACCTGGAATATGCTAAATGCAGATTTAGTTCCATTCGTTTATCATGGATCAAGATACTTTATATTATGTCAGAATCTGTCCCTTGTTGTCTTTTTACACTGTCTGTTCAGGGTGCCCCTTGATATTCACTTGATCTGTTTCAAAATTTTAATGCCAGTTAGTCTCTATGAAATGGCACGATCCATGACAGCTTCAAGTAACTGGAGTTCACCAGGTCCTTATCTGGGCAAGCAGAAGTTTTCATGTCTCACTAGAGCCTTGGACCACCAGTGAATGAGCTTTTAGTTTTTCTCTAAGCCATTATCCCTGGACACATATAACAAATATTCTGTATTTTTGTTTTCCATAGATGAGTGCTAATGATTGTCAAGACCCTCCAGAGTACTGGACAATCCATGGACTGTGGTATGATCAGAGAATGTTTTTATTTCAGCCTAGAAAGGAAAATCAAGTTTGTACCAGGATGTTTAGTGCTTTTTTTCGAGGGCTTAGTCTGTCAGGTTTTATGTTTCCTTGAAACAAAAGCCTTTATTTTGTTGGAAATCAAAACCTTATGGTTTGATACAAAGCTTGAAATACACTTCTGTATCTCATGACTTGCAGATCTTCTGAAATCCTCTTGCCACATTAGCAGTTTATTTATATATCTTGTAAGATCAGTAATGTTCTCAAACAGAAAGGGAAGTATGGTTTCCCCTTTTTTTTTTTTTTTTTTTTCTTTCTTCCTGAGTACACAGAATTTGTTAATGTCTCATGACTGCTCGTGGCTTTAAGTACCTTAACACAAATATTGCAAAAGTACAGGAAAAACTAATTTGCTTCAAAAGAATCAACTCACTGGAATTGATGCCAATGGTAGCAATTCAAAGGTTTTTCTGACAAATGCAAGGAAATAATTCAGTACAGGAGCTTAAGCTAGGTATCCTGGAAAGGTCAACAGCATTATGTCTAGATTACCAGTGTGTGTCCTGGTGATACTTGCAGAATCGTTGCTTAGTGCAGTGGTTCAGGAGGTCAGTGTCATTAGTGACATCTTGTGCAAGACCTTTCTGTATCACTTACTCCACCTGTATGACTTTTGCACAGAGTGAGAGGGACTGGAGGGCCTAAGAAAGAGCCTCTTTCTGGGAAATGTTTTGGCCATAATTAATGTCTTGAATTTTTACTTCTAAAACACGGTAGATGCTGATGGTTTATTTCCTTTTTTAAATAAAATCTCTAGCTATAATCTTGCATATTTAAAATTCAAGCTAATGATATAGAATAGAATGCTGTTAGTTAACATTAGTGAGTTAGGAGACATCTTTTTTTCACTTTTATTTTGCTTCCTTAGGCCTGACAAAACTGAAGAGTGTAATAGGACATGGCATTTCAATGTTACTGAGATCAAGGTAATTATTTAAAACAAAACCAGTCATACTGAGCAGAGCTGAGTGCAATTGCTTTTGCACATCCTATATGCAAAATCTGTAGCTTACAATGTATCACTCTTAGTGTTTGCTGAGACTTTTTTTTATGGACTTCTTTTAAGGACTCCACAAATTCATTAGGTGCTTCTGGTACTACTTGAAGTTGCAGTGCTCGTGATCATTAGCAGCTGTTCCTACTTAATTTTGTAGACACGTGGTTCAGCCACATCCTCCTTAAAAAATTATAGAGAGCATAGGTGGTGGATCTGCAGTGGCAAAAAGTACCTGTGAAAAAGAGATTACAGTCAGTCCATATTCTGTCTTCCATTTTCTACTGCAAAGCCAGAACACAGAAAATAAGAGTTCAGAGTACATTTTTTCTGTTAGTCCTTTTTTTTTTTTTTTTAATCAAAAAAATACAAATCTTTATTTCATTCAAATGTGTTGTAAACTGAAATAGGAGGCTTGAGCCAACAAATGTGAAAAGCTGCATGGTTGAAGAACTTCTTCAGGGACAGCTGAAGGAAGATCCTACTTTGAGGCAGTGTGTCTGTATTCGTACATTCAGATGTTTAGATAGTTGTACCTGTCTGTTACCTCCAATGACAGCACTTTCAGAATATTGGGGAAAAAGACCTTTTCTTTTTTTGAGAATAAATGTTTCGGTTGGGGATGTTGAAAGATGAAGCTTCAGTTCTAGAAAATGTATCGATATATGTAGATGATGTAAGAAATAGCTTTTCAACACTGTAGCTGCCTTTACTAATTGTGATATTTTTAGGATCTTATATCAGACATGAGACAGTATTGGCCCGATGTGCTTCATTCATCTCTGAATCGCACCCAGTTCTGGTGAGTACAATAAAACCTAATTGTATTTTGGATATTATAAAAATATCCATCTGAGTTAGTAATTCTTCAGGTGTGATGTTGTACATGAAAAGCAGTATCTGGGAGGCCACTGAAAGCAGTGTGTCTTGTCAGTCTCATTTACAAAATAAACCTTTTTTCTTGTTAGAGCACCTGCAAAATGCAGCTGTTGGAGAGGGCTATGACAGAGGTTTTGGAGAAATGAAACTTAGAGAGAGAGAAAGAATGTGTTTCTTCCCTTTGTCCCCATGGAGGAGAAACAGCTGCTGCTGACACATTAAATGTGAATAGCAGTAGCACTCCTGGGATGCCACAGCTAACTGAAAGAGCAGCTTCCAGGCTTCTCTTCCTAGCTGGCTTCACTGTGTGGCTGGCCTTGAGATACCTTATCTTTTGGGCTTTCTCACAAACATGGAAATGGAAAAATAGGATGCATTGGATCATCCTAGCCTCTTGTCTACCCTGAACTTCAGGAGATCAGACTTTGGCCTCTTCAGGGGTCTGCCTGGCAAGTAGTATGAAATAAAGCCCTGGAGAGAAGAGGGACCCGAGAAAGCTGATTGATATTCAAGAATTTCCTCTTCCCAACTCAGAAGTGGTGCATCCTGACAAAGGAGAAGTCTGGTAAGAACACCAGGAGGCCTGCATGGATGAACAAGAGCTCCAGGACAAGCTCAAACAGAAAAAGGAAGCATATGGCGGGTGGAAGCAAGGACAGGGAGGTAGCCTGGGAGGAATACAGAGAAGCTGAGCAGCCGGATAATGGGTTAGGAAGGTCAAAGCCCTGATAGAGTTAAATCTGTCCAGGGACATTAAAGGCAACAAGAAAAGCTTCTATAGGTACGTTGGTGATAAAAGGAAGACTAGGAAAAATGTGGGCCCTCTCCAGAAGGAAGCAGGAGATCTCGTTGCTCAGGGTATGGAGAAGACTGAGGTATTCAGTTACTTTTTTGCCTCAGTCTTCACCAGCAAGGGCTCCAGCCACACTGCCCAAGATGCAGAATGACTGGGAGAATGAAGAACCACTCACTGTAGGAGAAGATTAAGCTCAAGACCATATAAGGAACCTGGAGATGCACAGGACCATGGGACCTGATGAGATGCATCCATGAGTCCTGAGAGAACTGGCAGATGAAGTGGCTAAGTTGCTATCCATCATATTTGAGAAGTCATGGCAGTTCCTCCTCACTGAAAAAGGGGAAGCATAACCCCCATTTTAAAAAAGGGGAAAAAAGAAGAGCTGGAGAGCTACAGGCCAGTCAGTCACATCTCTGTGCCCAGCAAGATCATGGAGCCTGGAAACTGTGCTAGTGCATGTGGAAGACAAGGAGGTGAACGGTGACAGGCAATGTGGTTTCACTAAGGGCAAATTGTGCTCAATGCATTTGGTGGCCTTCTACAATGGGGTTACAGTGTTGGTGGTAAGGGAAGAGCAACTGGTGACACCTGTCTCGACTTATGCAGAGCATCTGACACTGTCCCACATGTCATCCTTGTCTCTGAATTGGAGAGACGTGGATTTGACAGATGGACCAGTCGCTGGATAAGGATGGTCCTCAGAGTCTTGAACACTCCACAAGTGTCTGAGGGGAACCTAAATTGTAATTGTCAAAAGTGGTGGTCTCACTTTTTCTTCCCTCCACTCCTTTTCTTGCACTGTGCCAGGGAGAGTATGACTGCTTCTTTTTGTGGTACCACAAGTTTATGACACCTTAAACTGTTCCTGGAATTAGAATAAGAAAAATGTGTCATAAATCTAGCACCTCCCTGCCCTGCCCACTACCTGTTCATAAAAACAGGTGCCTACCAGTCCTTATTTACTAACAGAGATATTTTGGTAGGTAGGAGGTATGAACAGATAAAATCAACCTTTTCCCTTTCAGTTCAAGGCTAGCAAATAGCACTTACTTCAGTACCTGGATATATAATTACAAATATCATAAAAGCAATACAAAAGTCAGGTTATAACACATATTTTGATTGACAGAGTAATTTACTCCTTTTCAGTAAGGTGACAAGTGCACTGTAACTGACAGCTTTAACTGCAGATTTTGTAAATGCAAGCTCTTAAGCCAGCTGAAAGCTAGTAAGATCCTGTTGTACAGCTCCTTTCAGTTAAAATACTGTATTTAAAAAAAAAAATTAAAAATCAAGAATCTCTGTAGTGTAAAAATCCCAATACAGCAGAAATAAGAACCTGAAAGTAAGACTGACTGTTCACAGTTTTCGTTGTTACAGACTAAAGGCATCTTAATTAGGTAAAGAGCATGAGCAGTGAAAAGCAAAATGCATATTTAATATCTTAGCATATGTCATCAGGGTTTTCCAAGACTGCTATAATTGTGTAATATGTTTCTTCCTGGCTTTATCTCTAACTGTAGCCCTGGCTTAAAAAGGTAGGTAAGGAATCTTCCTGGTGATTTTAGGATGGCTGTGGTTGTTTCTGTAAAGATAATTGCACATCACTGTTCACCTTGTTAACTTATGAACTGTGACAGCTGCCACCTAAGAGTTTGAATTGGACAGGATAAAATGCCTTACTACAGGACAAAGGGTTATGTGTGCTTTGTACCTCAAAATTTATTAACTGAAATAATCCCTTTTATAGTCATTAATAATTTTTTGGGCCAAATAAAAATTTCCAGACCAAGAGAATTCCCTTGAGGATTAGTTTATACATATGATACAGAAGAAGGAATCAGTGTTTAGCCTATGGTACAGCTGGGTGTCCCTAATCTACATTTTGTGGGCAGCAGTTGCAGTTGTGCTTTACAGACCTTCTTTGTTCCTACCCTAATAATGAGTCAGTCTGTAATCTTTGGACGCACCTGATATGCTCCTGACTGTCACATCTGCATGACTTTGTGCTTGGGGGTAACTCTGTCCTTTGTTGTATATAACACGAAGCAAAATCTCTTTGACGTTCAGCTTTTTTTCCACACAGCTGAGTTGTACCAATGTAATTCCTTTGCATTTCTGCAGTCCCCTAATACTTCATCTGTAGGACTTATTGCTGAGGTATGCAATTGTAACATTTATTCTTAGCAGCACCATAGAGAAAATGGTAGAGAATCACAAGTTATATAGTGGAATGCAATCTAGTGCTGTAAGACCCATTCCTGTGTGCCTGCCAAAGTACTTGTGTCCTGTAGGGACGAAAAACTGTTCAGCAAAGTTCTGGCAGCTAGTATATGTGCTGTGTGCTATTGCCTAGCTCATGGGTATGAGAGGTACAGAAGGATGAGTGACTTTCATGAATATAGGCATCTACATTCTCTATCCACGTGCCACTCTTCTGTGAGCTGAGGATCGAGGAGAATTACCTTGTCTTATTGTGATCTAGGTGAAGGAAAATGTGTCTCAGTAAATAACATTGACACATTAATTGTTTGATTTCTAAACACATTGTTTTATGTTATTGCCAGATACCTGCAGCTCCTTCATTTCCTTACTTCTTCAGTTTGCATTTAAATGGAAGAAGTGAAGGTGACATTTCATATGCCTGTGCTGAATGGTCAGAATTATCTGTATCTGCATTTTTTTTTTCCATGTGGCTGTGCTGTAAAATAAAGTAACACTGTCAAGAGTTGTCATCTTAAAATTTCAGTAATTGCTTTGCGGTGACCCTAGAGGAGCTCTCCATTCTGGAAGTTCACAGGACTGGTTAAAAAACTTGGGCTTGGTATGTTCTTGGCTTGCTGCAGCTGATGATGCATGGGCACTGTCTGGGGGTAGGTCTGTGTATTTTCACTTGTGATCCCCCCGACTGTTGCCTGGGCCCTGTGATCAGTGTGAACTGGATCCAACCACTCCAATAGCAGTTCTGTGTTAGCAATAATATGCTGCTTGAGCACCATCAGTTCTTTGTCCCTCTGTTTCTGCCTTCTTTCTAGAAACAGCAGGACACTTAAATACTAGTACTACTGAAAGCCTTCAAAAGACAGGCACAACACTTTACCGTTAGCTTTGCACACATGCATGCATATATTCTCTGAAGAAAAATTTTCATGCTACATGCAAAGCCGTGCCACCAGTTCACTGCTGTTCCAGTAGCCCTCTGGATTTGACTTCTGTCTTCTTCTGGTCCAAGCTAACTGCTCAGTATCTCTTGCTAAATTTATCCCTAAAAGAGCTTCCATTTTCTTTAAAACTGTGGTGTCTTTTCTTATCAGTAATTTCAAACCCCTTGTTGGGAAATCTGCTCTTTGGCTCACATGAAGAGGATTCCTCCAGGCAGTAAACAATTCACTTGACATATAGTTGAGTAGAGTGTTACAGCTGAGATGAGAACTCTACAAGGCTAAATTTGGTAATGTATAGTGAAAACCTTCCAGTAATGCACATACTCCCCACTTCAAATCTCTTGATGCCATTGTTGCTTCATTCATTCTCTGTTCCGAGGTAGAGTACGAATTTCTCTAGATGCAAACATAACTTCTTTTAAAGTGTTTTAATTCCTTAAGAAAAATCGGAAGTTTTTAATATGCATGGACAATTCAAATGCAGGATTTTAAGTCAATAATAGTTCTCATTGTGCTTCTCTGCTTTTCCATGAGGTTCTTATGGCATCATAAGGTCAGAGAATGCTATGGTAGTGGCAGAAATTTGTGATTAGATAACTTTTTGTGTACATCTGTTGAACTGATACATACTTAATACGAGTGGCTCATGAAAATTTGAAAAGAAAGAAGAAAAAAAAAAAAACGAACCATCCCCCAGCCCCTTAAATCCACAGGTGGCCTTGTTAAAGATCACACTGTTTAGTCTTTCAGTAGACTTTAGGATTGATAGAAATATATTTTGAGCTTTGCATCATTTTTTTGTCCTATTTCAGTTTGTCATAAAATTGCAAGAATTGCTTTCTTTTGGACTCTGTTCCATGGTATTAGAAGACTTGATGGTGGAATAGAAACAGGACTTGAGAGCAGCCCTGTGAAAATACTGCCATAGGCCAAAGTAAAAGTTGAGGCAACAGCCTTGTCTTAGCAGCTTGTGTAGTTTTACTGTTCCACCTAAAATAAGGGTTAGTCTATTTAGTTCTGAAATATTTGTAGTGCTTTGAAAATGTATTTAACATAAAGGACTCCATTAAAACTTATACAAAGTTTAGAAATACTCATTTTCTAGGCAAATTCTTACCAATCTAACCTCCAAACATCTCTCTGTAATACACCAAGAGACATTTGTATCATAAGAGCATGATACATACTTACTACATAAATTGCTTCATTTAATTATTTCAAAAACAAGCTGATTCAAAGGAGACAGCTGAAAAAACCAAGCACCCAAACTGTTTGGGCTAACTTAATCTAAAGAATCACCTGAACAGCGCTTTTGACTTGATAAGGTTTTTTCATGCTCTTTTGACACAAAGTTCTCTTATTCAGCTTTGAAATGAAGTAATGGTTTATTCCACATCAGTATCCATCTTATCTCCTCACTTTGCTCTGTCCAGTCTTAAAAAGACAGCTGATAGTGGGGAGGAGAAGAGTGTTATCCCTTTGGTGGGATAACAGTTGAAGGGCTGAACTATAAATGACTTCCGCACAAATTCATATACATAATTTATAGGAAAACAGAATACTGATTCTGAATGTCCCAGGTCCATAATAATATCCAAACCATTAGATCATCCTCTCCTTTATTTTCTACAGCTCTTATATTAACTTGAAAAGTCTCTATCTTGCAGATGCCAATTGTTCAACTCATTTATATATTTTTAATGCAACTTATTGTCTGAAAGAGTTTTTTCTTAGTCTGATGTTACAAGCCATAATGAGGAACTTGTTGGGCTTCTTCCTTACTCTCCTGTTAGGACCAAAATATATTGGTAAATGATTCTAATAAAAACATACAGATGTTTCTGTAATTGAAATGGTGGGAGTGATCTTTCTTGATTTTGTTTTTTACACATGCAGTACTTTTTGAATGCAGTGTCCTACTTCATGCATGTAGCCTTTCAGATACATATTGGCTAGCTTGTGCAGCACATATATCTGCAAATAATGTTTTATAAAACTTATATTTTTCTATCTTCCTATAGGAAACATGAGTGGGAGAAACATGGCACTTGTGCAGCCACGCTTCAGGTCCTTAACTCTCAGAGGAAATACTTTGGTAAAGCCTTAGAACTCTACCAGCATGTTGATCTTAACAGGTACGTAAATTAACTTGGTGGTCTGCTTCTTATTTCAAACAGTTTTTAAAAGTTTCCAACATAACCTAAAAAAATAAGTCTGAAAATCTGATGGCAGAGGGAAATGAGTATTAGAGTAGATTAATTTTAGTACTGGAGTTCAGAAGAAGGGTTATCTACTCTGAGAAGCATGTCTCTGGTCACTTCAGAGTCTGGTAAGCTGACAGTGTGCTTCACAGCATCATTTTAGACAATATGAGCCAGTAAATTTTGAGAAGCTGTATTGGCTGTATCTCGCTACCAAAAACTATGGTGCCTGTAAACTTCTAAATCAAGTGACAAAACCCCCCAAACTTCTAAGTCATACTGAGGCCCGGACACTTGTTCTTAGAAAAGACAGTGCTCTGCTCAGAGGAAAGGACAAGCTGCAGGCAAAATTGTTCAGAACATCCCGGGAAGAGGCTGAGAGGTGACAGCAAGAGAGGGTGTCTTGAAGGGCCATGTGTGGTTGCTGCAGGCAGCCCTCTGCTGTCCTCTGAAACAACCCCGTTGTGACACTCTTGCTTTGTCCTAGGGGCTCGTGGTTCCAAAGCACGGGCCGTTCCGGATACAAAATCTTAATGGGAATGTTGTGGCTTGTCCAAGTGCTGTATGTACGTGTTCTGGCTGCAGGTGAATGCCAGAAGGCCAGAGTCCTTTCTTAATCAGTATGGTATGGGTGGGAGAATGTTTGACTCTGATTTGTTGACCATGAATTGTCTCTCTGTATAAGGTGAAGGTATCTGACAGAGGAAATAAGTTCTTCTTTACCTGGAAACATATCTTAAAAAAAAAAAAAAAAATCCTGTTCATGTTCTTTCAGTATTTTGTCCAAGCAATCTCCTAACAAAGTCTCATTTGCTTTGCATGTGCACAAAGGAAATATGTCTTTCTCCCACCCCACCTCTTATTTTTGTAAGTGTCTTGTAAAACTGAATCAGGTTTTCCTAGACACAGTGCTTAAGAGCATGTCATATGTAGTGTTAAAATTAATAATGTCTAATAAGTCAATTGCCTGAGTAGCTGCGATGGTGTGACTAAAATATGTTACAGATGGCACAGTGACCAATTATGTGACTCTATATCAGCATGTGTAACACTGAAAAAGAATAGAGACTGAAACATACTGAAATTAATTGCTCAGAGCATATTCTCCATTGTAAAAATGAACATAATTAATTTAATCTTTATTGAAAAGGATAAAGACTGCTAATGTTCTCGTTGTACTTCATTTATACTTGAGTGAGAAAAAGCAGTGTTAATGATTAAAAGATTGTTTCCCAAAAGGAAATTATTAATAAGAGGACATTATGCAGGCTCCTGTTAGAAAGACAGAACATCATCTATTTTATTGGCTTCCTTATATCCAGAGTCAAAAGCCAATGACAAACAGGTAGGTCTCTAGTCAACTGGGTTAAATGTCCCCTGTGCAGGACCTGACCTTTGAAGGGTTGAGCATTATCCACACTCATGGATTAAATCCTGCAAGATGCTGAACATTCCCACTCCTTATGGAAGAAGCTGGGACTTAAAAGACTTGGGACCTCTTGAGTCCTGAATCTTGCTGTCAGCTTGGAAGTGTGGACTTCTCTAAGGACTGAATCTAAAGGAAGGGGTATATAGTCTAGAGGTTCTTGAGTTTTACTTAGTTTCTTTTAGGCAAACAACCTTTCCTCTTCAAAAACCTATTTGTTAGGAAATGTGTCTGCCCTGACGTTGATCCAGATCCACACACCATGTCTCTCTCTGTGTGCTGTGCACCTTCCACCCCAGCAAGCCCACCCTGTGTTAGAACATGAGGATGCCTAGAACCACCTCACAAGTCTGCCTTCATCCCCTCCTGGTGCCCAGAGCGCAGGGGTATGGCTCAAGGCAGGGGAAAGGAAGCAATTAAACTGCATGCCCTACCTGGCACTCAGTAGAGCATCCTGAAGGTCCCACAAACAACAGTAATATTGCCCTTTCCCCCTAGCTGTGTCTGAAGACTCAGCTCTCCCAGCTCTTCAGCTTAAGGTGGTGGAAAGAGTTTTTTCTCACCCTGTTGAGTTGGGAGGAGGCCTTTCAGAAGAGGGGAAGCCTTCCTAGGCCTGGTAGAGGATGGAAGACAATTTTCCCTTGCTCCCCATTGCTGTAATGCTTGACAAGTTCTCATAAGATTATCTGTTTAGCTAACGATTATAAAGTTACGTTTGCATACAGGAACCATGGAAAAATGTTTTATCTTTGTTTCAGTTGTCTCCTGAAAGCTGGGATAAAGCCGAGCAGTTCATATTACCAGGTAAGAGGCAGTCTTTTATAAAACAAAATCAGGTGCATGTACTTTTCAGCAGCAGTCAAGTAATTTCTAGAGAATAAGTGATCTTTTTTTAATTGTATAGTTCTTTAAGGTTGTGTTTTATCTAAAAGTTTTTGTGAACTTAAGAAGTGTGGGAGCTGTTGGAAGATGTGCTAGTGACTTAATTTATATAAGCTTTTTAATTTTTCAGATGACTGCCATAAAGGAAGCCCTTACGAGATTTTATGGTGTAACGCCAAAGATCCAATGTCTTCCTCCAGAAGAGGTAAAAACTCCAAACAAACACATACTTCCCAAACTCCCCAAAACTGAAAAACAAACAAACAAAAGAGCACTTTTTATCAAAAAACAAAAATACAGTGAAAAATCTTCAGCATGGTGAAACTCAGGTCTGGGTGTTCCTTGCGTATCCAGATCTTTGCAGATTACATGTTGCTCAGTTCTTGAAGTTGAGCTAATAAAAACATTGCTTACACACTGGCACCAAGTCCAGCTTATGTTACTGTTGCCACAGCCTTTTCTTAATGCAGAAATACCATTAGTGGAGGCAGTGTCCATTCTTTACCCAATAACTTTGCAGTTAGTATAATTACCCAGAAAGTGGGAGCACTGGGTTTTAAAGGTCTCCTTATCCTGAAAGATTTGAACCTTAATCTGTTTCATGAATGCTGTAACCACCACACTAGAGGTATTGCTGTAGCTGAGTACTTTCCATTCCTTCTGCTAAAGCTTAATTGTCATATAGCAAATTACTAGACCCAGCAAGAGTAAGCTGAATGGAGCCAGTGACTGTTGGCCTTGACAAGTGTATTGCCTGTCAACAGCAGTCTTCCCTTCGCTGGGCATGGCTTGTGTGTTCTGCATGAAGTTATTCAGTGGACAGAATCCTTCAGAAATAAAGAAGCTCAGGGGCTTGTCTCTGAGGTTGCTCTCAAAATCTGAAGAGGTATAAAAAGGCATTTTGAGCTTCACTGTGGTTCAGGATGATTGTAGTCTTTCCTTCTGAGCCAACAGTGTCTAAAATTTCCATTTCTTTCTGCTTTTCCTTGCCAATGATTGTACTGTGAATCACCATGCAGTAGAGAATGTGGTACACAGAAACAGTGTGTTATAGTGTAAAATACAAGTTATCGTGTCTTGAACCAAAAATGCCTTTGAAGGAGCAAAATAGTAATATGGACAACTACATGGGCAGGCTGCATAGCTGTTTCTTTCCTTGTTGAGCTAGGTTACTCCACTTTTATTCAAAAAGAAAACAGAAAACCAAACCTACGAGATAGCTTTCACACTTACAAGTGGTTCTTTATTATCTCAGCTTGATAAAAGTGGCTTACTACAAAACACTTGACAGAGTTATTGCCCATACACAGACGACAATTTTATGAAAACTTGCCAAGATACTGTTACTGTTGGAGTTTAATAGCTTGTGTGTTGTCAGCTCATTTGCTTTAGTAGTGCTCTGAGATTTTTATACTCAGATGTTTCTTCATGTGAAAAAGAATTCTAGGTTACAATTATTTTTAAAATGTATTTTTACATTACTTTAAGCAACAGAGGACTATGAGTTGAATGTGGGTTGCGCACTCACCCACCGCTTGATTCTGAAGAAATACAGAGCTAACACAAATCTCAGTTTCTAGCTCTGTTCATTGTAGGTCTGCCATTGCTTTTAGTACAGTTGGGATACTGCTCAAATTATGTGAAAGCAATTTACAGCTAGAGTCTCCTGTGTTTATCAGCTGAAGCTAATGGGTAATGGAAAGGAGAAAGTACACCCCAGTTACTTAAATGTTGCCCTTTTCAAGGTTCCAGCCATGTCAATGCCTGAAGTGCCTTACAGGGGTACTTCCATTCTTAAAACATATTACACACCTGCTGTATTCTTAGGTTTCTTTAAAAACAAAAGCACCCCACCCACTCCCCAGCCCCCCACCCCCAAAAAACCCCTGCACAAACACAACAAGAAACCTAAAAAAACCCCCAAAAAATCACAACCAAAAAAAAACCCAAACCAACAATAACAAAAAAACCCACCACCACGGTTACTTTTGTCTTTGTCCTGCTTAGTGGTTTCAAAACCAGTTTTTTTCCACATGCATTTTGTCATGCCTGAGCATTCTGGGGGATTTTCGCATAATCTTCTTCCCCACATGAAAGGCTTCCATGCCTGCTTGCCTTACTTGTGGTCAATACTTTTCTTCCTAGTCTGTTCTGTAGTCCAGAAATGACATTTCCACTACTTTTGACAGCTCGCATCTGTATTTTTTTCTCCTCTTTGGAGAATTTCCTTTGCCTCAATTCCCATCCTGCTACAAAAGAGTTGGTGAAAGGTGGCTTTCGGGTCACACACACCCTTCAATATTCACAAACTTCAGCCAGAGCTCATCATTAAGGTGAACAGCTTTTGTGTACTGTGCAGATTTGGTAAATGGTAAAATAGTCTCTGTCACAGCATTTCATAATGAGACTTACTAATTAGTCAGATTCTCCAAGTTGTTACTGAATTATGTTCTTGGAATGCATTTCCTTGTCTGCTTGCTCCTTAAAGACAAGTATGTGCTATAAGCTGTTGAGAGTGGATGCCTCTGGTACCTGTCTCCTTCACATTTTTCAAGTGGCAGATATACAAGTAGACACTACTGTATTCTATAGGTAAGGCAATATATCTGAAGAATTGATTTATTTATTTATTCTCCCCATCAAGCTGGTCTCATCTCTTATGTTTCTAGGGTGAAAAAGCACAAACAATTGGTCAGATTGAATTCTGCTTCACCAAAGAACTGCAGCTGAGAAACTGCACGGCTCTGAGTGGTGAATCCGACCCAATGCAGGCTGACTTGAAGCTTGGAACTGAGGAGTTGTCTGTCTGCAGTGATACACTCCCAACCTATTATCCTTCACAGGTCCAAGATCACAAATGAAGCCATAAGAGTTTGAAAAACTTCTTAAACAGCAACAGAAACCAAACCCTTGAACTTTATACCTTGGAAAGCAGTCTTGACTTGACAATACTAAAAGGCCCTGTCCGTATCGCAAGCAGGCTGTGAAGATTTCTGCTGGAAAACATGCTGCTTTTCCCATTAAAGGAGAACGGTCCATGTTGTAGTATCAGCTACATAGGATGAAATACTGAGTTGGGCTCCAATATTGATGGGATCAGAATCTGATTTAGAGCTTTGCCTGGACTTTTTGGCTTCCTTATAGTTTGAATCAATGTTTAAAAGAGAACTGTGAATTCTTAGTTTCACTTGCAGTTAAGTCTGCCACTTTTGGTTTTTGCCAGTGAGTCAGGGAAATTAAGTCATTGTTTGTTTTGAAAGGATGGTTGTCTCTCTGAGATGACATGACAATTTCTTGAGAAGAAAATATTCTAAACAAAAAGAGCTTGGAGACCTGTCTGGAGGTCCTTTCCCAGACATAATACCCACTGCTTTGTGTAAATTTGCTCTCTGCAAATGCTGAACAGAGGCCATGTCCTCCAAGTTGTTAAGCCCTTCCTCACTCAGCAATCATGGTGGACCAAAAATGACAACTTTTGCATAACAACGTAGTTTCATTCACTGAGTTCACCAGGTTTTGGCACTTCTGCCTAAAGGACCACAGGAAGGATATATTTGTAGCCTTATGTAGTCTTCAATTGATTTTGCTGCAGTAGCTCCCTAAGTCTTGAAGAGCAACCAATCTTAGAACTTACTTGCTAGTATAGGAAAACTTTAGGCCCTAGAAATATGTTGTTATTAATTTTTCATTGTATTTGAACATTTAGAATAACCACACAAGTGAGTGTCTGCATTATTATTTAAAAATGAGATTGTCACATAATCACTTTATCCCAAGACACAACTTTTTATATGTGAAACATTAAATACTACAGGATTTACAGTGAAAAGTACAAATGTTAACAGTAGTGCATCTTTCTTTCATAATAATAAATAACATGCCACAAAGTTGGATGTTTCCAAAGGGGACCGAATTCGTATGACATCCTCTACACAGTGCTGTGTTGATGTGTCTCAAATTGTCTTGCAGAGAAAGACAATTATGGATCAAGGAGCCATCTGTTAGAAGAATATTACTGTGAAAATCTGAAATGGAGTATTAGGAACAAATTTGTTACGTTTTTTGGAGTTTAGAAACTTTCACATTTACTCTCTTTTTGACTGTCCCTGTTTCTCTACCACCTTTCATTTAAGGTTCTGTTACCTTGCCATTCCAGAATGCTGTCAGTTTTTTTTAGTCCTTTCTTTAGAAGCTCAGATATTTATTTTTTTTAACAGCTAAGAAATTAGATCTGCCCTCTATTATATCTGTATTTCAGTAGAGCAAGGGCTGCTTTTTTAAAATATGTCTTCCTTCCCAAGAGGATGAATATAGTTCTGTATACTAATACTATATTAGTATACTAATGTTAATCAGATCTAGTGTTTTTACGGTAGCCATGGCATGTTCAGTTCATGTTGAACATGACCAGAAGAATCACAGTTCTTCATTCCCCTGGTTCTGCTGTCTTCATCTAAGCAAGAAAAAGCAGGGAGACCTAACTGAAATGCTTGAAAATACTAGAATGTACTTTTATTTTGTGGAATCTTTTTGAGATCACTAATATTTTTTTCCTTCTAATTACAAAAATTGACTTAGCCTAAGGAAAACAACTACTTGTTGGGAGAAACGCATTTCTCTGCAAAGGGGCAGTCCAAGGCTCGGGTACTTTTTTAAAACTTTCTCTCCAGCTCTTTCAGATAGTATTTGGATGGTGCACAGGTTTTGGGTAGACTACAGAGAGTGCAAAAAACTTAGAATGAACATTAATTTAGAATTCCCATTAGAAGGTGAAGGTGATTTTTTTTTTTTTTTTTTTAAAGAAGCAAGACCTCAAAATTGTGATTTTTTTTTTTTTTTTTTTTTTAATGGTTTGGATTTTTCTTTCCTTTGATGAAGTCCCTTGTTCTCCTTTTCCTTTCAAAGTTCTTACACTGCAGTGCCATATCCTGCCCTGTTAAGCTAATCAACAGCAAGGGAAGTATAAACAAGGGTTGGTAACTACCATCAGACCATCTCACGAACATCTTGCTTGGTGCTTTTCAGTCACCAGTTTGGCTATGAACACAGTACTTAATTAGAACAATAGACTTCTCAAAATCTCACTGTAAATATTGCCACCTGGGATGAGCAGGTGCAGTATAAAAAAAATCCCCTGTAATCCACAGCAACATACTGTACTTCCAGATGAGTGATTGTTGGCTTTGCTTGTTTTTCTGCAGTTGTTTTAATTCCTTGGTCCTCTTCACAGTTAGGAGAAAAGTTCAAACTTGGAAGCAGTGGTAGCATTGGTTCTTGCACAGACATATGCTTAATGGAAGCTCAGATCAACAGTCTGATTATTTTTAATTGCAGTATAAATTATATTTTCTTTTATAATGGCAAATAATGCTTAGGGAGACAAAATACAGAGTACGAGTTCTCTGCAGTTCAAGTGTAATGCATTAATTTAAGCAAGCCAACGACTGCAAATGTCCTTTACAACAAAGTGATGCAGACACTATCAGCCTTCACAGTGTAAGGCTCAAAGGGAAAGCTGACTCTTGCCAAAGAGAGAGTCAGCAGATACAGGCCAGAGTCAGAAACAACCAACCTCTGCCATAGATAGTATGGCTTCCATGCATTTTTCACCCTTGTTTTCAAATGCAAGAAATGTGAGGGAGCTGATAAGTTATAAAACTTCAAGAAAAAACTAGCATAATCTGAAATGAGAGAGAGGAAGGGAGACACATGGCAAATCCAGCAGCATGCTAAACAACAGGCTGCTACTGAGTAAAAAATGACTGATAAATATTAAGATTGGCTAAAAATGACCTCACAGATTCTGAAGTCCTGTTTAAAGGGACATACCTGAGGTACTGCATTTGCCTTAACAAAGCCACACTCACATTCTTATTTTGCCAAATTATTGCACATTAAATATTTTAATTTGCTATGACTAGTTAAAGTAGTATCTATGATTAAAATAAACTAAAGTCGTAGCAATAAACCACTGTATATGACTACCATTGCTTGGTTTTTGACAGTCCCCTCTGCCTAGGTTCTAGGAAGATACAAACGTCTTTTGAAAGCTATTGACTAATTTTTTTTAATGCAGAGAAATGCCAAGACACTATAAAGTTTTAAGTGATACATTTAAGGGATGCTTTAAGGGCTATGTCTGGATGTGGGCAACCATGATGAACGAATGGTAGCACCTGTTCAGACCAAAGATCATGTGCAGCCCTTTGTGTTCTCTCTAGCAATGGCTCACAGCCAGTTGCCAGCCTTGGCAATTGCTTTCCATCAGAATGTATATAATTTCAAGAGCTGGATTAACACAAATTAAGTATGAGGTAAACAAAGGTATATTGGGAGACTTAACATTCACTTCAGTTCTGAAAAGTGTCACTCACTTCCTTAAGCAAAACAAAATCTGTCAGCCCTGAAGATACAGGGCAGCCTGGGAAGGATGGGGGCTATATTCATTTCTGCATCATTAAATAAATTATCTGAATCCCAGCAAGGGGGTTGTTTGTGCAGTCTTGGCGCTTTAAAACACCAGTCAACTCCACAAGGAGACTTAGTTTGTTTATACGCTTTGTCCATGTGCTCTCTCATGCAAAATGCACAAGCATTGCTTGGTGTGTTGGTTAGAGCAGGGGCTGTCTGTCCCCTTTCCAAGGACAGCCCCTCTTTCTAGACTATAGACAGGTTCTTTTCTTTCTCTTGTTCTCTCACTCTCTTCCTGGCCTGCACTGAGCATTTCTTGGCTGCGCGGGAGCCAAGCTCCAGCCAAGTTCATGGTGGTGGACAAATACAAGATTGGAAGAAGCAGCTTCTACTCTGTTTTTTTAGGTAGCAATCAATGCACAAGTACGCTGTGCTTAAGGCAACATCTGTCTCTTCCTTCCAGCAGCCAGCTGATACGCCACTGCCGCCAGGAGCAGGAGGTGGGAGAAGCAGAGGGGACATCTCCTCACCGCGCCTGTTTGCAGCGGGGGCAGCGACGGGGTTGCCGTTGCCCAGCTGTTAGGCAGCGCTGTCTTTGGGGGCTGAGATGGAGGTGGCACAGGTCTCTCTCGTGTCCCCACTCTGCACCCTCAGCGGCTGTGCTGCTGGCCCCAGCCGCAGCCCCTCGTAAGGAAAAGTGTTTCAGCAGGGCTGCGGTGACGTCAGTCCACTGCGAGTCAGCTCCCACAAATGTGGACAGCCTGGTTGCTTACAGCAGCAGAGCAGCGGGTGCTGGCTTTTACAAGGGGGAAGGGGGATCTTCACAGGGATGGCTTTGTGAATTTGGGCACCTCAGTTTTGGTGTGGTCGGGCTTCAGGCAGCTGTGGTCTGTTTGCGTCTGGCTCTGAGCACCAGTAAGCCAAGGCCATAGAAGGATAATGGCACTGCTAACAGTATTATTGCTACCTGATGGTGGTACTGATGATGCAAAGGGAAAATGGCAGGACTTTGCAAGTTGCTTTCCCAGGAATGGAGCAATCAGTGATGAGGAATGTTGTATTTATACTAAATTCACACTGTCTTGCTGCTCAGGCGGCTGCCTTCACAAGGCTTACTGCACACCTCCCCTTCCTCTGCATAAGTATTCCCTGCTCCACAGAGTTGCTGTAGATCACCCAGAGTTGATACAAATAATTCATTTTAGAAGGGATTTCAATTTCTTGTGATTTAGAGAATAAGAGCTTTAGTATACAGGCTAAGTGAGACCTGATGTGGGAGATGGGCAGTTTATTTTATATTTGTGTGCTGTGATCTTCCTTATTCCTTACCCCAAAGTACACTGAAGCATCACAGATTGGACAAGGATTAGATAGAAGTCAAGAGCAGCCAAACCCAACTGTGCCAACAGATTGGTGGTATGGACCCTATCAAGATATTCATCATGAAAAGCACAGCACTGGTGTTCAGACACAGTATTCAGTTTGAAGGACTGATGTTTCAGTAATCTTTTTATAAAAAAGAAGCTAAAATGCCGATACTTGATAAGAAAATTCTTAAGCAGGTGGTAGAAAGTTCTTAAGCAAGCTGAAGAATACCATGGTGCTGTCTGTAAGAAATACTTTTCTGAGTACAGCCTCCCTTACCAGAAAACAGACTGTTCATCTGAGGTTTTTCTATAATTCACACAACTGTTTGCGTTAGGGACCCGTGCCCTGCATGGAAATCAGAGAAGATGAGCTAAAACAAAACTAGCAAGAACTAAAAGCACAGCAGTTACCCTGTAATAATTACAATCTCTATAAACAAGTGTGATGTATCCCAGCAGGTACCCGTCATTAGATCACTTACTTCTGTTTAGTATTGTTGAGTAAAACTTGCTACTGTCAGCTTCGGAGAGAGGCTTCTGTCTTCCCAAAGTGCTCAGCTGAGGGTGGAGCAGCTGTGCATACTTTCAGCAGAGGCTGGAAGAGCTGTCACATCTCCTGAGTGCTGTCATTTTAGCCCATCAGGCTTCCACAGATCAATCTTCCTTACCAAGGTTTCATACATTAGGTTGTGCTCGTGAAGGCTACGTGTGTCCAGATGACTTGGCGCTATCAGTTCCCAGTGCCAGGTGTTGCAGGTTGTGTTCAGAAGTATATTGTGCAGGGACTGTCCCTCCTCACAAACCCCGTTTTGCAGGTATTTGCCGAATGCCTAGGGCATGCATTTGTCAAGGGTTTATTAGCCAGGAGGCTGGCTAACTGATGTGTGAAGTGGGAAACACTTTTTTGTCTCCAGGGATCTCAGACGTTTGGGGCGTACGGTGCCGATATCCTACTGAGGTAGTCATTTTATACACAACAGCTGGCTCTGCCTTATTTGTCCCCCAGCCCCTGGATATCTGAATAGATTTCAGTCTCATGGTTCCCGTGGGATTCAGTGAGCAGCTTGTAATTTCTGAAGCCTGCTGCAGGATGATCACTGTAACAAAATAGCTCTGGGACACAAATGACCCTCTAATTTCTAGTGCCTCATATTTTCAATTCCATTAATTGTCCTCAGTGACTTGAGGGATGAACGGACCACCCTCTCTGATCTCACAGAGAAACCAAACCATTCATGAAGGCACGGATATTGTAGCACAGAAGAATATCTTAAATCTCATGGACAAAATGCACTCAAAATAAATACCTATTTTTTTCCCCTTCTTCCCCCCCTCTATTACTGTTTTGAGAGGTTCTGACTGCAAGGATCACTGAAGCTCTGGAGGAAGGCAGTCACATTGATAGATAGCTTTGAATCCTTTATTTGTTATCCCTTTGGCACCTGTTTTTTGGCATGTCTGGCTGATTAACAGGCTTGCTGTCACACTCACACCTGACCAAGAACAATGTCTCAAAAAATTAATTAAAAAAGATGGAAAATAATGGATATTCATTAAATCAGTTAACAGTCTGGGGCCTCCATAATTACTTAAACAGAAATATGGTGTGGATAGCCTGGGCTGTCCGGGCAGATGGGAGAACAGGGAAATTGAAATATCTGGTTTTTTACTTATCTCTGCCACTATCCCCCTGTGAGTGAAATTCAACTTGGAATCTGATGACAGTTTGAAGTCCCACACAAATTAAGTAGGACTTACATACACTTGCTATCTGGAGATAGGCATTTCTTCCTTCCTAGCCCTGGCCAAGTAATTAATGTCAAAATACTTAAAAATATCATGGCTTTTGGAGGCAATTAGAACATCTGGTCCCTACAGCAGAATTGAAACCCTTGTCTTAGCAGCTGAGCTCATTGTACTTACATGGTGGGAAGTATAGAACACTGCAAAGTTTTGGTAGCAGTGGGGCTACAGGGGTGGCTCCTGCAAGAAGCTGCCAGAAGCTTCCCCTATGGATGGAAGCTTCCTCTGATGGAGCCAGTGCCATCTGGCTCCAAGGTGGACCCATCACTGGCCAAGGCCGAGCCCGTCACCGGTGGTTGTAGCGCCTCTGGGATAACATATTTAAGAAGGGAAAACAACCTGCTGGGTAACCTGCAGCAGAGTGAGGAGTGAGAATATGTGAGAGCAACAACTCTGAAGACTCCAAGGTCAGTGAAGCAGGAGGAGGAGGAGGTGCTCCAAGTGCCGGAGCAGAGATTCCCCTGCAGTCCGTGGTGAAGACCACGGTGAGGCAGGCTGTGCCCCTGCAGCCCAGGGAGGTCTGTGGTGGAACAGATACCCACCTGCAGCCCAGGGAGGACCCCACACAAGAGCAAGTAAATACCCCTGAAGGAGACTGTGACCCCGTGGGAAGCCCACACTGGAGCAGGCTCCTGGCAGGACCCGTGGGGAAATGACCCCACACTGGAGCGGGTTTGCTGGCAGGACTTGCGACCCCGTGGGGGACCCACGCTGGAGCAGTCTGCTCCTGAAGGACTGCAGCCCGTGGGAGTGACCCATGTTGGAGCAGTTTGTGAAGAACTGCAGCCCATGGGAAGGATTCACATTGGAGAAGTTCGTGGAGGACTGACTCCCATGGGAGGAACCCCACACTGGAGCAGGGCAAGAGTGTGAGGAGTCCTCCCCTGAGACGGAAGGAGTGGCGGAGACAGTGTGTGATGAACTGACTGCAACTCCCATCGCCTGCCCCCCTGTGCTGCTGCTGGGGAGGAGGTAGGGAAAATTGGGAGTGAAGTTGAGCCTGGGAAGAAGGGAGGAGTGGGGGGAGGGGGTTTTATTTCTCATTATCCTACTGTGATTTGATTGGTAATAAATTAAACTAATTTTCCCAAGTTGAGTCTGTTTTGTCCGTGACAGCAATTGGTGAGTGATCCCTCCCTGTCTTTATCTTGACCCAAAGCCTTTTGCTATATTTCCTTCTCCCCATCCCACCAGGGGGAAGCAATGGGCTGAGCCTAAACCACAACAGTACTAAATCTTTAGACTGAGTCTTAAATCCGGCTCCTTCCCATGGTGGCAAGGGGGCATGCCCAGCTGCTCTGGGGCAGCCCTTCCTAAGCCTTTTGGGTTAAACCTGTTATGGCATTCCCGGCAGGAGCCCAGGTAGTGCCGGTTAGTGTAAATGCACATTGCTGGGTCATATGGCACACTCACAGTCTTCCAGTTACCCAGGAGAGGTTTCTGCTGCTACAGACGGCCTCTGGAGAAGATACACAAGTTTTGTAGCAAAGATGAGAACCCAGGGTTTCTCCCCGCTTTAAGCAATTACTGCCAGTTTTCTTCACACCTTCACAAGGAGAGACTTGGCGGAGGCCCTGTGCAAAACAGCCCCCCAGTCTGGTGGTTTGGATGCTCAGTGGGGAAGAAGACGTCTTTGTCCCTGTTTTACCCTGCCAAGGGGAGAGCACAGGGGACCTCCTCTCCTGTGGCCGGGACCACTACTTCACCTGCCAGTGGATCCTGCACACAAACAGCACCGGCACTCTCAGCTCTGTGTTAGACACGATGGCTGTTATCTTTTGTGAGCAATGTCATCCCGTTGGTGTAAGTGATGTGGGCTCTTAGGAGGCTGCCCCAAGGACTGGTAGGTGAAGGAGTAACCTGACCAGGCAGGAGTGCATTGGGTGCTGAACTCCTCCT